CCAAAAGAGAGGTAATCGGAAAGATTGAGGTACCATTGACCATCGGACCAGCCACCTATGATGTTGAGTTCCTTGTGATGGATATCATGCCGTCTTATAGCTGTCTTTTGGGAAGGCCGTGGATTCATCAAGCAGGTGCAGTACCCTCCACGTTGCACCAGAAAGTTAAATTTGTCATTGACGGGGCCTTGGTAATTATCAACGCTGAGGAAGATATCGTGGCAAGCGTGACCACGGAGGCTCCATACATCGAAGTAGACGAGGAAGCGGTAGAATGTTCGTTCCGCTCCTTGGAGTGTGTGAATGCCACATTCGTGGCAGAAGGAAAAAGAATCCCAAGACCTCGACTCTCCAAATGCACAAGGATGGAGATCAAGCAAACCCTAGGCCGAGGCGCAAGAACCGGGAGAGGTTTTGGGAAATATTTGCAAGGAATGATCAACCCTGTCCGTCCTATCCCAAAATTAGACCAATTTGGGCTCGGTTTTCAGCCCGGTTATCATGAAAAGAGAAAGGAAATTCAAAAGAACCGGGAGAGAAGGTTAGCCAGATTGACTGGAAACGAACTCCAATGGAAGCCTATGACATTCCCGCCGCTCTTCAGAACATTCAAGTCAGGTGGTTATGTGTTTGAGACCACCATGTCCGAGTTACAAACGGCTCTGGAAGATCTGAACGTTAATGCCGTGACCACAGAAGATGTTGACAACGAAGATAGATCCAGGATATGCCCTCTGCCGCATGGATTCGTACCTAGCAGTTGGTCGGTGGAAGAACTACATGTGGTTTACAAGAATCTTTCAGAGTAATATTCGAACTATCCCTATTTGCCTATACCCGGGGCAATAGGTGATCTTTTGTAAGGGTGAATAAATGTTTTGTTTAAGTTTAATAAAGGATGCATTTTTCTTTTTTCATGGCAAACAAATTTTTCTTTTATTCATTATCTATCTCCTTCATTCCAGTACTTCATTTCCAGTTACTCTCAAAGTTAGTTCTTGACCATTCCGTGTGGGATATTATCCTCTCACACATACACATCTTCCTCCTTTCAGGTTCCCAGACAACGATAATGCGGGCACTGATGATCCTGATCCGGAGGTGGATTTTGAATCAACCATTTGTCTTGGGGAATTTGATGAATGCGATAATGAAGAGGAGTACAACTTGCCTACCGAATTGTTGAGAATGATAGAAAGAGAAGAAAAGCAAATACTGCCACATGAGGAGGCGATCGAAATCTTAAATTTGGGCACTGAGGAAGATCGAAAGGAGGTCAAAATCGGCACAACTCTTTCGACTGAAGCAAGAAAAAACCTGATAGTCTTACTTCAGGAGTACGGAGATGTGTTTGCTTGGTCGTATCAAGACATGCCGGGACTAGACACGGATATGGTAGTTCACAAACTGCCAATCAAACCAGAATTCAAACCTGTGCAGCAAAAATTGAGAAGAATGCGACCAGAAATGCTCCTTAAGATCAAGGAGGAAGTCAAGAAGCAATTTGATGCCGGTTTTCTCCAAGTAGCTAAATACCCTGAGTGGGTGGCCAACATAGTGCCTGTGCCGAAGAAGGACGGGAAAGTGCGCATGTGTGTCGATTACCGGGACCTTAATAAGGCCAGTCCCAAGGACAACTTTCCTCTGCCACACATAGACACTCTGGTGGATAATACGGCTGGGAACGCATGCTTTTCGTTCATGGACGGATTTTCGGGGTACAATCAGATCAAGATGCATCTTGAAGATATGGAGAAGACCACTTTCGTCACAATGTGGGGAACTTTCTGTTACAAAGTGATGCCTTTCGGATTAAAGAATGCTGGGGCAACATATCAGAGAGCTATGGTGACCCTGTTCCATGACATGATGCACAAAGAAATCGAGGTTTATGTCGACGACATGATTGTCAAGGCACATACCGAGAGTGAACATGTCAAGAATCTGAGGAAGCTCTTTCAGAGATTGAGAAAGTTCCAGCTGAGACTAAACCCTAGCAAGTGTACCTTCGGGGTAACATCTGGAAAACTACTAGGCTTTATAGTCAGCAGGAGAGGCATACAGGTCGATCCTGATAAGGTTAAGGCTATCCAGAATCTACCTCCACCACGAACCCAAAAAGAAGTCCGAGGTTTTCTGGGCAGACTAAACTACATAGCTCGGTTCATCTCTCAGTTAACCGACAAATGTGACCCCATCTTTCGTCTCCTCCGAAAGAATAGCCCTGGAGCATGGGATGAAAACTGTCAAATTGCATTTGAGAAGGTAAAAGAGTACCTGTCCCACGCTCCTGTCCTGATGTCCCCTATCCCAGGAAAACCTCTGTTTTTGTATCTCTCCATATTCGAGAGCTCCATGGGGTGTGTCCTGGGTCAACACGACGAGTCTGGGAAGAAGGAAAGAGCCATCTACTACTTAAGCAAGAAGTTCACCGATTGCGAGGTCCGATATCCCCCTATTGAGAAGGTTTGTTGTGCCCTGGTCTGGGCTACAAAAAGACTTCGGCAATACATGTTGTATCACACCACTTGGCTAATTTCCAAGTTAGACCCACTAAAATACATGATGGGTGTACCTGCTCTATCCGGAAGATTAGCCCGATGGCAGATGCTTTTGTCTGAATTTGACATCGAATACGTGAGCCAAAAAGCAGTAAAAGGCAGCGCCATATCCGATTTTTTGGCAAGCAGAACTGATGAGAGCCATGAGCCACTGGACTTTGATTTCCCAGATGAAGACTTAATGGCCATATCTTTAGAGGAAGCAAGCATTTCAACGGACGGTTCCTGGAGAATGCACTTCGATGGGGCATCAAATGCACTAGGACATGGCATCGGGGCAATTCTAGTCTCCCCAGAAGGGAGTCACTACCCATTTACCAGCAGACTGAACTTTGATTGTACCAATAACATGGCAGAATATGAAGCCTGTGTCTTGGGAATTCGAGCTGCACTGGGGCAAAATATAAGGACTTTGCGTGTGTATGGAGACTCAGCCTTAGTAATCTATCAGCTCCGAGGAGAGTGGGAAACCAAGGATATAAAGCTATTAGAGTACCGAAAACTAGTGTTGGATCTGCTCGAAGAGTTCGACGAAGTCACCTTCCACTACGTGCCTAGAGAAGAAAATCAAATGGCTGACGCTTTAGCTACCTTGGCAGCCACATTCAAGGCTGGCGGGGAGTCTGAAATGATGCCAATTAACATGCGGTCGTATGAGTATCCAGCTCATTGTTACCAAATTGAAGAAATGAAAGATACTAAACCTTGGTACTACGACATTCTGCAGTATATCAAGCATCGGAGTTATCCAGAAAAAGCCACCGAAACCGATAAGAGAACCCTTAGAAGGTTGGCAGCAGGATACGTCCTTGACGGAGAGGTTTTATATAAGAAAAGCCATAATCAAGTTCTGTTAAGGTGCGTCGATGCTGAAGAGGCAAAAATGATAGTGGAATAAGTACATGATGGAGTTTGTGGAGCACATGCAAATGGGCATATGATGTCAAGACAAATAATGAGATGCGGATATTTTTGGTCCACACTGGAAAGTGATTGCATCAACTATGCTAGGAGATGTCATAAATGTCAGATTTATGGAGACAAGATAAATGTTCCACCTCATCCGCTTCATGTAATGACGTCACCATGGCCTTTCTCTGTGTGGGGCATGGACGTTATCGGGCAAATCCATCCGAAGGCTTCGAATGGTCACCGTTTCATTCTCGTAGCAATTGACTATTTCACGAAATGGGTAGAGGCTGCGTCATACGCCAGTGTCACTCAATCCACTATTTGCAAGTTTCTGAAGAAAGAAATTATATGTCGGTATGGTCTACCTGAAAGGATTATCACCGATAACGCAACAAACTTGAACAACAAGATGATGAGTGCTGCCTGCGAACAGTTCAACATAAAACATCACAATTCCACTGCTTACAGACCAAAGATGAACGGGGCGGTAGAAGCAGCAAACAAAAATATTAAGAAGATAGTGGAAAAAACAACTGAAACTTACAAAGACTGGCATGAGAAGTTGCCTTTTGCTTTGTTCGCTTATCGAACCTCGGTACGAACTTCGACTGGGGCAACTCCATTTTCACTAGCCTATGGAATGGAAGCAGTGCTACCCATTGAAGTCGAGATTCCGTCTCTCAGGGTCTTGTCAGAAGTCAAACTGGATGATGCAGAGTGGGCACAATCCAGATATGATCAGCTTAATCTGATAGATGAAAAAAGACTGAAAGCCATTCATCATGGTCAAATCTATCAGAAACAAATGATCCGAGCACATGACAAAAAGGTGCGCCCGAGAATATTCCGTGAAGGGGATCTAGTGCTAAAAAGAATTTGGCCAGTCCAGAAAGATTTCCGAGGAAAATGGACGCCAAATTGGGAAGGACCTTATGTCGTGAAGAAGGCTTTCTCCGGAGGAGCCCTTATCCTGGCTGAAATGGATGGACCTGAGCTGCCACATCCCATTAACTCGGACGCAGTCAAGAAATACTTCGCTTAGGATGAAAACCCGAGAGGGCGTCCTAAGTTGAAAAAAAAAAACAAAACAAAACAAAACAAAACAAAACAAAAAACAAAACAAAAAAACAAAACAAAAAAACAAAAAAACAAAAAAACAAAAAGGGAAGAACGTTTAGGGTGAAAACCCGAAAGGGCGCCCTAAAAAAAAAAAAAAAAAAGAGGAAAAAAGAAGAGAAAATAAGGTGGGTTCAAGATGAAAACCCGCAAAGGGCGTCTTGCAACTAAGGATAGGTCCAAGTTGAAAACCCGGAAAGGGCGATTTGGATATCAACGGTGGAAGCATCCCGCCACATGAATCTTCTACGAACTCAACAAATCGGAGAAATGTTGCACCCTCCCAAACATTGTCGCATTTTCAAAGATCCTTTGGCAAAGGCTGCATTCAAAGTCACCAAACGGCTTTTCAACTCAGAAGTGCCCACGTTATCGAGATCTAAGACATTCATTTACACATCATTGTGTATTCGTTTTCTAGAATGTTTGCCATGTATTATTTGTTCTTCTCCTCTCTTATGAATAAAGACCATCTTTCCTCCAATTCCTTTTAAGCATCTTGAATTAGATTTAAACCTAATGGTTTATTTATTTTTATGGAAGATAATCGCATATTACTGTACAAAGATTCATTGAAAAGTACAGGTACCCAGAAGCCGATCAAAGCTCATGCACATGCTTGAGATGGTTGAGGAGCATCTTCAAAAAAAAAAAAAAAAAAATCATCAAACACTTGAATAATTCAAGATCAGAGATCGGAACTTCAAGCTCAAGAGTCAACAACGACAGGCCACCGGAGATCGAGATTACTCTCCAGAGCTCAGAATAACATATGTTGCATATGCATTTTAGGCATACCTAAGAGCATGACATCCATAACATCACATATATGCATATCTTTGCAGGTTTTACCCAGATCCAATTTCAACTTCACAACGAAGGATATTGGACTCCAGACAACGTAAGTTCAACTTCACGACGAAGGGACCGCTGGTTGTCAACAAACATTTCTCAATTTCAGAGCCAATTTCAACTTCACAACGAAGGATATTGGACTCCCGACAACGCAAGTTCAACTTCACGACGAAGGGACCGCTGGTTGTCAACAAACATTTCTCCAATTCAGAGCCAATTTCAATTTCAAAACGAAAGATATTGGACTCCAGACAATGCAAGTTCAACTTCACGACGAAGGGACCGCTGGTTGTCACCAAACATTTCTCAAATTTAGAGCCAATTTCAACGTCACAGCGAAGGATATTGGACTCCAGACAACGCAAGTTCAACTTCACGACGAAGGGACCGCTGGTTGTCACCAAACATTTCTCCAATTTAGAGCCAATTTCAACTTCACAACGAAGGATATTGGTCTCCAGACAACGCAAGTTCAACTTCACGACGAAGGGACCACTGGTTGTCAACGAATCATTTCCCAGTTCCAGAACCGATTTCAACTTCACAGCAGAGGATATTGGACTCGGAACAATACTTGGATTTCAACTTCACGACGAAGGATATTCAAGTCAAGGCTCAACTTCACGACGAAGGGGCCATATACATATATAACTTCACAACGAAGGGCATTAGGATATTCGATATGGACGTAATTTGTGTATTTTAATCTTTGCTATATTCTCGTTACACGATAATAAGCAAAGAGGGGCAGCTGTAAACACACAATTCCGTCCTTGCTTACAACAATATATTATACAATATCTATGTGTTGCATTATTTTAGTGTGCACTATGTACATTGTATAATATGCATGCATATGATATTATTTTATACAGCAATAAAAATGGCCCAAGCGACCCAGGCCCAGCAGACTCGTGACCCAGCAAGCAAAGGTTTCCAAGAACCCTAGCAAGTTCCAGCCAACGCCGTAACTGTCCCCATGCGAGAGTCCCGTGTCCCATGTCTCACCGGCATTCATCCCCGGTTATCTCGGCGCCTTGAACTCCTCAATGTCAAACAACCACCAACAAACGTAAGCACGTGAAACAAAAGCAAAGCAACGTGCATTAGTAGGACTCCAAACAACCAAACCGAGTCTTACTCGGATTCAATCTCTAAGGACAGTTTATTTCTTGTACTATAAATAAGATGTAACCCCATTGTATTTGGGGGGGATATACACAAAAATACGGAAACAACCACGCATCTATAGCAAATATAGAGAAGCAAGCCGAATCTTTGTACAACGTTTGAAAGGAAATAAAGGTAGCATTTTTACCTTATTTTGTTCGTTCTTGGCTACTTGCATGCGTAGTTACTCGCGTTTTGTGCTTGAAATCACCAAAGAAAAACGTTTTGGCCGATGACAAAGGAGTGGATCTTTTGAACCTTCGATCTTAGATTTACACTCCGAGGCTTGTTTTCAAAAGAAAGTATTCGGATATTCTGAAAAAGGAGGCAAAGGGCTCTTAAAAAATCGAAACTTTTTTATATTTTGTCGCTGATGAACGGCGGTCGGCGCCAACAACGGTAGCCGGAGTCTGGGAACTACGGCGGCGTTCATGTGTTCATCAAGAACACATGAACCAAGCAGAGGAAAAGAGAGAAATGGGGAAGGGCTCGGCGAGAGAAGAAGAGAAATGTTTTGAAAAAAAAAACGTTTATTTACATATATACAACCCGTGAAACCAACCCTGGAACCCGACCCAATCTCCTTCAAACCGGTGCGTTTTGATGAAAAGGGGGTGAATCGCGTTTTTGTTCGCTTTCTTTCAAAACTTCCATTTTGATCCCAGAATTGAATTTGAACCCTGATTTTTCTTTTAATTTGGCCACTGGATTCGTCCTTCTTTTCAATTTAACCCCTGATTAAGATCAAGTAACGTTTTAGTTTTTAATTTCATTTATCCATTTGCTTCTTATTATTTAATATATTACGTTTATTTTTTTATTATTATGGTATATTATGTATATATGTATATATTTACATTTCCTTTCTGTTTTTACCTTTTTTTTATTATTACTATTATATTATATTTTTATTATTCTGTTTTTTCTACTATTATTAATATTTTTTCCCTAATATTTGATTATTTAGTATTATTATTATTATTAAATATATTTATATGCTCCTAGTTATTTGTTTTATCTAATACATGTTATTATTTTATGTATTTTTTATTTATTTATATGTGTATACATTTTGTATTTTATCTTATTATTTCTTTACTCTTTTTCTTATTATATTTATCTTCATTATTTAGTTTTTCCGTTACTATTATATAGATTTTTTTTCCTCATATTCAGTTATTATATATATATGGAATTAATATTATTATATGTTTTTATTAATTTTACCTTATACGCTATTATTTTACATTTTTTATATACATATGGACATTTTATTTAATTCTTATCACTTTAAATTTGTATGTTATTTTATTTCACCTTTATTATGTTTTATTTATTCATTTATTCCTTTTTATTTTATTTGCACATATTTGATTATAGTTATTTATTTATTTTAGTTTTTTTTTATTACTATTATATATATCTTTTTATTTTTTTTAATTTTTTTATATATCTTTATTATTATTACCATCATTTTTATATTCTATATTTTCCTCATCTTATTTGTTTTCCATTTTACCTTAGGTGTTTTATTTGCATTCCTTATCTAATATATGTCCTGATCTTTTAAGGGTACAATTTAAGCAATCTAAGGTAAGTAATTTGGATCGTCATTTTACATTTTAATTTAAATTTACAACTTTCTTAATTAAAGACAACTGGAAATTACATAGTACCGAAAGGGCAGTTCAAGGGTGCTAATCCTTCCTTAGCTGTAACCGACTCCCGAATCCGACATATCTTCGGTAAGACGCAGATCAGGTAAGATAGAAGGTATCCGATTAACCTATTTATTTGTAAATAAATAATCGGTGGCGACTCCAATCCACATTTTTCAAGTCGAAGCCCAATTCCGGGGCCCAACCGAAAGACGGTTGCGACAGTTTCTATAAAAAAAAATATTTAAAATATTCAAAAGTTTTCTTTTGTTTAGCAAAATATTCTTATTATACAGTTGGGTTGTAAACCTTCGTCGGTTCCTATAAAACAATATTTAAAATTTTTATTTTGAATTTTAAATAAAATTTTATTTTATCAAATTCCTAATTAAATTGGTATTAACTGACTTATGACCTCAAGTTTAATGATAATATTATATCTTCTTCTTCTCTCTTTCTCTCTTTATAATCACACTATAATTTTTTATCATACATGATTATATTATAGTTATATTACCATATGGATATGATATAAAATAAATTAATTGAACAATATAAATGTATGAAAAGCTTAAATATATAATTCCAAATTATAAAATCTATTTTTAAACCCTAATCTAAATAAGCTACCGATATTAAATTGATTGATTAGGTCAATTAAAACTTAAATCGATCAATTAATATATATATATATAAAAGATTAATCATTTTAAACAATGGGACGGTTCTATTTATGTTATTGTATTTTTGCTCTTTGTGGTTTTGGTATAGATAGAGGTAGATGCAATTATTAATGTAATTATTTTTTTAATAATCTAGTTTGATTATAAAGTAGTATTTATTTATAATCTTTCTTAATCATTGATAATGTATATACACCTGCAAACATAACTGCTTGAACCCATGATCTTTATAGAGAATAACATTCTCTTAAACCATTGAGATCACTCGATGGGTTCATATATTATAATATGTTTTATATTATAACTAAATTATTATAAGAGATTACAGCAGTGGAAGTCGGATATTAGTTCTAATAATGAGAATAACACAACCATTGATGGTTAGGCTTGTTCATTGAAGCCAGTTGGTTAGTTTGTTATAACAGCCTGTTAGGCTTAACAGACTGAGAAAGATTGTCAGTTGCCTCGGCTTAGCGTGGGCTACAAAAATCCAGAGAGAGGGACGGCCCAAACATTCTTTCGGCATCTTTACTTTTCTCCTGCTGATTGAGCGTTAATTGTGATATGTTTTTCTGTTGTTCCGGTGGTTTTGCATGTTCGCTATTCCTGACGGTTGACCTCCTGTTCGCTGGTCACCGGAATCCGATGAATAGATAGCATCAATACATAGATGTCGGAGTAAGATACATTGATATGCAAAGAAAACCCATCAACCTGTGGCCGCATGAAGGGAAGTGTTTGTAGCATCGGGCTACCTCCTTGGCGTAGATTCTGCTGCCCGGGATGAAGCATTGGCATCAAAAAGTTTGACATCATTACAGGAATATTTGCTTTCCAAAACGAGGTGCGCCAGGAGGATACATAGGCATACAACAGGTCCCATATGCATACGAGAAAACTGTTCCCGTCCGTATACAACAAAAATTAATAGTATTATATACATTCATGCTGATTTTAACTCCAGGTCCATTAGGAAAAAAGAAAAGAAAAACTATACACGTGCATGTCACCTCAACTCAATAGAATAAGAAAGAAGCTACATATACGAATAGCTGCAACCTGGCTTTCCTTTCTTCTTTCCTTTGAGCAACGGCAGCATAAAGTGGTTGGCTAATTTACAATTTTACTATCCATCTCCACGAGAAACAACACAGGACAAATGTCAGGAACAATAAGAAAAAAAAAGAGAAAATCTGTTCAAAAACATGGGAAAAGGGAAACAGAAAAATATCTTACATCTCGAGATCCTTCTTCAGCTGTTGAAAAGGCAACAAAGCCCGAGTCTCTACTTATACCATTGGGGTCAAGAATAATCTGCAAACTTGTCTGCTGTTTCCTTTCAAGTCTGCTCTTACTGCCCTTTCAGTTCCATCTCTCTTGAAGACGAGGAACGGAGGGATTTTGATATCTATATGTTTTACTTAATATATTTCACTAATATACATCTTCTATAGGATATCTCTACTACCCCTTATTGAATATCACATCCCATCTGCCCCATCTTCTTAAGCTAACTAATAATGCACTTGAAACATGTGCCTTTTTCTTAATTACCTTCTTCATATGCTTTCAATTTCCTCTTTCTTTTGTTTTCTATTTTTAATCTTTCAGACTTTGCTTAATTTCAATGGCGAAAGATTGACGTTTTCTTTAACAGAAGACAACATTACCAACCACAAAAATTGTTTACTCTTCTAGCCACGTAATTTATAATTTCTATCAATTAAAGTAAATAACTAAAAATATGTAAGATGAATTTACAATTAGGAGAGACATAAACGACTTGAAAGAAGAATTCATAAAATATTATTTCTGTGAATTTTGTCATGTCATTGTTTATTTTCAATTTTAATGAGAATTTTATTTAAATACATAAATTATTTAATAAGGGTCAAGAGCTACTCATCATAAACAAGTCTGGAAATTTTCCATCAAGCAATGATAAGAAATCAAAACAATTTGTTCGTCAGACGGCAAAACCATCCAAAAGAAATATTCAACTAAATTTGGTTATATAATTATGCAATTTAAATTCCATCTGAATGCCTTGTTTCTGCATAAGGGAATCTGAAAGCAGGTGAATTGTCAACCTCAACGATAACTAATTATTTAAGAAATCATATTAATAAAGGTTTCGTGAAAACTAAACCTGAAATTGATGAAAAAACGACTTTTGGCTTGTAATTAGTTATTGCGTCGCAAACATTAGTCCCCAACCCCCACCAATCCCTTCTCCAACCACTTTGTTTCACCATTCTTCAACAATAATAATTTATTAAATAAAAATAAAAATATTTAAATTTGATTCGAGAAATATTTAAATTTAAATTTATACTTGCTTGCATATTTAAAATTTAAAATTTAATCGTTTAAGGTATTCGGGGCAAATTGCTTGGATATTTAGCACACAATTTTTAACTTCACCCTACGTGTGTGTACTTTAAAAAAATACCGAACCAACGTATAGAAATTGCATGGAAACAAAACCAACTGCTTTTAAAAAAAAATGGCCTTTAAGGTTAAGTTTGGTTTCTAGAATATTAATATTAGGTTGTCTGAACCACCATGATGTTGTCTGAAAAGTTTGGCTTCAACCTTCTGTACATTTTTTTGTTTAAATCAAACATTTCAGATTTTCAAGTGAAAACCCACTAGAAAAAAAAATGAAGAACAACACCGGCAATGCCAAGCTAATCCTCCTCCATCCTTACATCCAAAAACAAGGAAGTTCCAGCAAGTTATGGCTTCTCGCTTTCATTTCCTTCTTCACCGTAGCTTTCCTTCTCACTCTCGTATACACCCGAGAGTCGATAACCGGGAAAACCGTCGCAGCGGCCGCGATCACGACCGTGGCAGGTGGTGGTGTTACAGCACCATTGCCGACCACCGTCGTCAACACCCTCCTCCATTATGCTTCCAAATCCAACGACAGTTACCACATGCCGTATTCCGAGATGAAGCCGATCGCCGACGTGCTCCGAAAATGCTCCTCGCCCTGTAATTTCCTCGTTTTCGGGCTAACTCCGGAAACCCTTCTCTGGAAATCACTGAACCACAACGGCCGCACGGTGTTCATCGAAGAAAACCGGTATTACGCCGCTTATTACGAAGAGTTGCATCCCGAGATTGACGTCTTCGATGTCCAATACACGACGAAGATGAGTGAAACGAAAGAGCTTATAGCTTCGGCCAAGGAACAAATCCACAACGAATGCCGACCGGTCCAAAACCTGCTGTTCTCAGAGTGTAAGCTTGGGATCAACGATTTGCCGAATCATGTTTACGAAGTGGATTGGGATGTGATATTAATCGACGGGCCGAGAGGCGCCGGAACGGAAAGTCCCGGAAGAATGCAGCCGATTTTCACCGCCGGCGTGTTGGCGAGAAGCAAGAAAGGGAGCAACCTTAAAACACATATATTTGTCCATGATTATTACAGAGACGTCGAACAGATTTCTGGGGATGAGTTTTTGTGTAAGGAGAACATGGTGGAACGTAATGGTATGCTCGCACATTTCATGGTTGAAAGAATGGAAGAGAACAGCTTCCAGTACTGTCGCAATAAAAACAATTCTTCATCGTCAACAACAAAAGCTCCAGTTTCGTAGTTGTTAATTAAAAAAAAAAAAGATCGCTTGTAATATTTATCATCATAATTTCAAGATCGACTTTTATGTTTCCCTGTGAAGCGCTGTGCTTGTCAAAAATAAATTTTGTGTAATAAAAAATATAATTTCATTTTAGGGATAAATTAATATAGTCATATCTTTTATGTAAAATTAAAATTAAAATTTTAATGTTTAAATTAAAATAAGTATTTAAATAATTAATTAAGGACCCAATTAATCAATAGTGAACAAAGGAGACCTTTAAAGTTTACGTGTGTGTACAAGGAATTACACCTTTATTCAATAATTTATATATTAATACAATTCAACTACTTGTTGAATTTAATATTTTCTTATGTAATTATGTGAAAGTGATTGGTCCATGAAATCATGATTGGTATACAGTCTCTCTCTCTTTTTTCTTTGGAGAGGTTGATATACAGTCTTCGTGTCTAATAATTTGCTTATTTATAATTAACTGTTCAAATAAATAATTGTGAATTATTTATTTCACCCATGATAATAAGATGGTGTTTGGTTAGCATGAATCCCTTGTAATTAGGGGAATTGAAATTCAATTTCACTACTTTTCCATGTTTGGTTCAAGTTTTCTAAGGGAATTGGAATCTCTCATGGCTTCAACTTTCCATCAAATGAGGGAAAGTGAATTACATTCATTTTATGATAAAATTCAATTCCCTTGTTGGATAGAATTAAAATTTGACCATACTGTCCTCATCAATCTTTTGGTAACTTATTCATATATTGAATAAAAATGTTTTATTATTATTTCGGGTCGGGTCGGGTCGAGTCAGGTCGGGTCGAGTCAGGTCGGGTTTCTAATTCATATATTCTGGTCGGGTCGGGTGAAACTTTCTTTTGGTCGGGTCGGGTCATTATTTTAAGTGTGATATTCGGGTCGGGTCGAGTTCGGGTTTAGGGTGAAAAATACCCGACCCGAAAAATATTTATAATTTTACCTTATATATTTAGGAATAATTACAATAATACCCCTCTATATATAATTTTTTTCAATTAAGTCACTGTTTTTATTGAATAAAAATATTTTTTTTTATTTCAGGTCGGGTCGGATTTCTAATTCATATATTCAGGTCGGTCGGGTCGGTTTTTTTTAAGTGTGATATTCGGGTCGGGTTCGGGTTTAGGGTGAAAAATACCCGACCCGACCCAAAAAATATATAATTTTACCTTATATATTTATGAATAATTACAATAATATCCCTCTATATATATTTTTGTCAATTAAGTCACTGTTTTTATTAAATAAAAATAATTTTTTTATTATTTCAGGTTGGGTTTCTAATTCATATATTCGGGTCGGGTCGGGTGAAACTTTATTTTGGTCGGGTCGGGTCTCGGATGGAGGTTCCCTTGTTCTCGGGTTGGGTCGGGTGGACCAAAAACTCGACCCATGACCATCCCTAATTGGGATGATTTTAACTTATGATGTTTATCAGCATGATTTTTATAATTTATTAAAAATGAATAATCAATCAATAAAATTAAATTTTAATTTTTTAAAATTTTTATAATATATTACTACATGTAATTTATAAAACAAACTAAAATTAAACAAAAAAGATAAGAAGGGCAATCTTGTCATTTTACATTACTGAAATCAAATTCATCTAACATGTCTGCGAACCAAACAAAATATGGAATTGGATTCCAATTCAATTTTTCTGTCAACCAAACAGAATATGGAATTGGATTCTAATTCCTGACAGATTCCAATTCCTTCATAGATTTCAATTCCCTCAGAAACATGTCAGCGAACCAAACGCCACCAGAATATAATATAAATTCCAACTTCCAAAGAGAAGTTGTATAATATTTTTGGAAAGGAACAATATAATAAATAATCAATAAAAAACAGTAGTTTTTTCTTTCAACGGCAATCATTATTGTTGGAGTTTTGCCGACGGATTATCAGTTATAAATGACAGTAATTTTAAAAAAATTGAAAGAGATATTTTACTATTATTTGATACATAACGTTTACCTAATATATGGCCATAAATCAATAGAGTTCAAAAAATAATTCAAGATTAATTTGGTTTTTGTTCATTATATGTTAAATGTAAGAATGTGAATTGTATTTCAAATTTATTTATTTATTAAACAAATCTAATATAAATGAAATATTATTAATTTATTTATATTTATAATAAATAAATTTATCTTCATTGAAAGCCTGTGTATATTTGTTTATAGCTCGTTTGAAAAACTATATAAAACGTGTTTATCGCTCAATTACTATATAATTAATGCGTCTTTTATTGTGTGAGTGCTTTTTTATCTATATATAATATATTTTTTTATATTTATGTTTAGAAACATGTTTTTTATATTTTTTTGTTTTTTTTTTGGAAAAAAATATTTCAAATATTTTTTAAAATGTTCGATGGATGTTTATATAAATATAGATAATGTATTTATTTAATGCCCGTGAATATATCATTTTATTTGTATGATCATTAAATGAACGAATGTGAATGTACAATTTTAAATAAATAACATGAATATAATATTAAAATATTATTAAGTATTAACAAAAAAAATTGATTAAATTATTAGACTTGATTAAAGTATGAGTTGAACTCAAATTTATAATTTCAAGTCTTAAACTTAGTTCAACCCAACTCTTAAATGTAAAATATGTTTTCAAATTTTTATGTATTATGGAATTAATATTAACTAAACATTAAAAACACTATAGTATGTAATGCATATATTTTAAAAGAATTTTAATGAAAGAATATAACATTACTAAATATTAAATAAATATACAATGTGGAAATTTAATATAAGCTTAATTAAGCTAATGCCTACTTGGGTATCTGATTAATGTTATAATATGAAAAAGGGAAAAGAAAATCTTAGCTTCCTTACAATTATTGGCAACGAGGCATGACTCATTGTTATAATATTATATACATATCTTCTGTTACTTAAATTACATACAATTAGGTTCTATAAATCATTTACCCAAAAAAAATTCTATAAATCATATTTATTGTTTAAAAGTGCTGAACTGTCCAAAATTTGACAGCAGAGAAGGAGTGGCCAGAGTTGGTGGGCAAAGATGGAGGGTTGGCGAAGAATACGACCGAAAGTGAGAATCCTAATCTGACCGTCAAGGTGGGGGAGGATGGATCTCCGATGACATTGAACTACAGGACCAATAGGGTCCGGATTTGGGTCGATGAAAAGGGGCTTGTTGTTCATACTCCTACAGTTGGCTAGACCGTTTACTCTATGCTTATGAATTATGACGGGGTCATTAATAATAACAGCAATGATTAATAATGTAATTGCTCTAACCATTGTCATGTTGGTGTGTTAATTGGTTTCATCTAGAGTAAGCATGTCAATAAGGATAACAGTGTCGCATTGAACTCTTCTCTTGTTTTTTCCCTTTTAAATTAAAAAAATTATCCTAGAAAGTATCTTTTATGCAACTAAACTATTAATAATCTCTTCTGCCCAGAAAGATATTCATAATCTTTAAAACTCTTAAAACATAAATAATTATGTTTTAGCGCAATCAACTTCGTTGCATCTAGAAAATATTAGAACCCTCTAACGGGTCAACTTTGAAAAATACACTTGACTGATCTCTTATCATCTAGAGATGAATGTCGAGGCGTAATTTATCCAAAAATATTTTTTGATAATAATATTATATAGTTAAATTTTAACTTAAATAATTTTAAAATATATTTTTCAGAAATAGTATTAAACTGATTTTAGGTCTAAAGAGTCAACTACTACTGTTAGGAGAAACTGTAAGCTAACTTGTAAGAATATAGACAGTAGCAAAGTAAAATTTTATATTATAGGATGAATTTATAAATTTTAAGAGATAAAAATAGATTTTTAATAAAAATATATATAAAAAAATTTAAAATATATGATAATTTTAAATTTTTAGGGAACGACTGTTCTCGTCCACCTCCTTCGATTCATTACTGAAAACAGATACATTGATCGTTGTAACGATTTCAATAAATATGTTAAAATTAAGAATGAAAGTAAAAAAAAAACTTAAAAGATTACTTTCTTAAACGATTCCATAAGTAAATAAAATGTAAATAAATAAAAAGAAAATAGAAGGAGACAGATGAATTTGGACGGCTAAAGTTTGCTTATATTAGTTAATTACTTAATTAAACTGACAATGAGTCTATTATAAGAAAATATTTTAATTTAGGAATATCTAAAATTTCATTTTTAAAAAATATTATAACTTAATTAATATTTCAATTTTAAAAAACGAATCAAATGATTAATTAAAAATAAATTATTTTATATCTTCCACTAAATAACTAAAAGAAGTTAATAACCACCAACCCAAAGCAACTGTTAGCTCTATTAATGTATTTTTAAAGACACAACATTGAAGCTGTCTGAACGTCCCTACAAGAAAAATAGGATAAGATAAGTAGATAATTGGAAGAAAAATATATCTTATTAGATAGAATTAGCAATGGCGGGTATAGCTAAAATGCCACGATAATGGGTGTCAGAATTCCCATTTCGACGTCATCGCCGCTTTAAAGTCCGAAAACAAACCAATAATTAATACCCCCAACACCTAATGATTCCGTCAAGTATGGGACTTCTTTGAAGTTTCTACATTTCTTAACAGCACAAAAAGGGGAGCTACCAAGCAGTAGGTACGTTGTGATCCCCAACATCTCTTTTTGCCCATTTATTTGGAGATGAAGGATTTGGCTTCCCCACTGTTGTTTTCTGCTACCTTTTTGTTGCTTCTCTTCGCGGTTCGCCCGAAGGTAAATTTCCGGTCTTCCTTAATTTGGATACGGTTTTTGTTTTATTTGTTGGGGTATATGTGTGTGTGTCGATTTGATACTGTTTTGACTTTGATAATCCGTAATAATATCTAAGAATCTACCAGAACGGTTTCAATCTTTTAGATCGAAACTCTTCAATCGTGGACTTTTTTTGCGCTGATAGGGTGAAAAGGCGATTATTTTTTGTGTTTGATGCAAAGATATGAACTTAAAAGAAATGATTGTTTTTTTCTCAACAAGAGACCTTAGAGGAGCTTCTTTACTGCTAGTAGTTTGTTTTTCTTTAATGTATGGCTACCATCATCGGTTTCAATATTTTAGATTGGAACTCACAAATGGTTGACTTGTTTGAGCTGATATTGGTGAGAAGATGATTGTTTTGTTTTTTCTCCAATCTCACCATGTGTTTGATGAAAGGATATAAACTAATTCAATATAAGAAGCAAAATAAAAATTGTTTTCCCAATGGGAGAATTCAGGGGAGTTTATTGGCTGCTAGTAGTTTTGCTTATTGGTTTGCTTGATTAACTTGATATTTTTGGTGGATCATATCAAACTATTTGATTAGATTGGTATAGTTAAGCCCCCGAAATTACAATTTGAACTTAGTTGGATCTGTATTGTCAGCAAGTGATTGCTGTGGAACAACTTTCAGAAGTCAAGCTTAACTCTCGGATCCTTCAGGTATTATCTCAGTTTGATGTGTTTAAAAAGGGAAAATGGTTTCAATTGTTATATAGAGCGCCATTGATTTTTTACTCTGACCATAATCTTGTAGGATGCAATTGTAAAACAAGTAAATGAAAACCCCAAAGCCAGATGGGAAGCTGCCCTGAATCCTAGATTTTCTAATTACTCAGTAAGTCGTCAACTTGCTAGGCTTTTTCACCACTCTTTCCCTCTCACGTCGCTATATGGGTATGCTTATTATTTCCAAATTTGTTTTCTGATGCAAAGGTTAGTGAGTTTAAGCACCTTCTTGGAGTCAAACCAACACCTAAGAAAGAACTTCTGGGAGTTCCTGTTGTAACTCATGACAAATCCTTAAAGTTGCCAACTACTTTTGATGCTAGAACAGCTTGGCCACAATGTAGCACAATCGGAAGAATTCTCGGTGAGTTATGTGCTGGTTTATAAATTTTTTTGTCTTTTGAACAAATTGGATTGATGATGATTTTCTTCTTTATATGTTGAACCAATTCTTGGATCAATTTCTACATTAAAGATCAGGTAACTCAATTTTCATTTCTCTCAATTTTAATATCTTGTTTTTTTATAATTAAATTCTTAGTATGTTTAGCTGTGCTTATGCTTTAGGGTCACTGTGGTTCTTGCTGGGCTTTTGGTGCTGTTGAAGCGCTATCTGATCGGTTCTGTATCCATTTTGACATGGTAAATGAAACTCACTTTTTCGTTTTCTTTAAAAGAAGGAGATAGCATTTATAGTTGATGGACGTTAATTTTTACTTAAAAAATCTTTCTTTACAGAACATATCTCTGTCCGCTAATGATGTTGTTGCTTGCTGTGGCTTTCTTTGTGGAAGTGGTTGTAATGGAGGGTATCCGATCTCTGCATGGAGATACTTTGCGCGCCGTGGTGTTGTCACTGAAGAGGTATTGATTTGTACAAGCATGATGTTAGGAAGCTACGTTACTCTCGGACTTGTTTATGAGTGGTGATTTCTATGTATTAGATTAAAACTTCTGGACATCTAGCGTCATTTAGTTCTAAAATTACAGCTTACCTTAATTTGCCCCTTAATCTTATTTTCTTCATCTTGCAGTGTGATCCATACTTCGATGACGTTGGTTGTTCTCACCCTGGTTGTGAGCCTACATTTCCAACTCCCATATGTGTGAAAAAGTGTGTTAAGGGAAACCTTCTCTGGAAGCGATCAAAACACTACAGTGTTCTCCCATATAGGATCAACTCAAATCCAGCTGATATCATGGCAGAGATTTATAAAAACGGACCGGTTGAGGTCGCCTTCACTGTTTATGAGGTAAGGAAAGAACTCGATGTTTTTCTTATCAAGTTTCCTGCTCCTCTTGATGGGCAATTTCAAAGTGGTTTGGCAAAAAATGAATCCCCATATCCATGTGTGGAAAATGAGTGTCGGACACGGATACTTCAAGAAAAATGAAGAGGCCGAGCAAAACATAGTTTTATATTCTAAGCTTCTTCTTGCATTTTACAGGATTTTGCTCACTACAAGTCGGGAGTTTACAAACATGTAACAGGCGGCGTTATGGGAGGCCATGCAGTTAAGCTGATTGGATGGGGAACTTCAGATGACGGAGAAGATTACTGGGTATATTTGAATGGCTTTTACCTTTAGGCTAATATCTTAGAATCATTTACCGATTCGAGTTAATATTTCGATATTTTACCTTTTTCTCCATTGCAGCTTCTTGCAAACCAGTGGAATAGAGGCTGGGGTGATGTATGTTATCCATCAAACTTGGTCTCCATATTCGTTTAAAACCTGTCTTTACGATGCTTAAATATTTGACCACCTTCTTTCTTGTTGCAGGATGGTTACTTCAAGATCATAAGGGGTGTAGACGAGTGTGGCATCGAATCTGATGTTGTAGCCGGTTTGCCATCCACAAAAAACCTCGTTCACGAAGTTGCAGATACGGAAATCGTCGAAGATGCTTCGTTCTAAGAGAATGCTCATCTAGACAGACCTACCTGATGTCGTAATCTATTATTAGTGCATGAACTGTTATCTTTGTTTCCACTTTTGGGGTTTCAAGTGCTATGCTCGCCCTGCAAGAACGTCATGATGTATGTAGATATGTTACGCTTCGTGATATTTAGTTTATGTACCCACATGATTAGAATTTAGACTTGTGATTTACATGTGCATGTTTGCGTATTATAATCATATAGGAGAAGCAATCGCTCTACTTGTTTCCCCAATATCATGATTTTACACTCAAATTAAGTAAAAATAAAAATAGGAGAAGCAAATGAAAATCGTGAACGGGAAATTAAAAATATTATATTATGAAAAATTAAACTTTATATAATAGTAAAATGAAAAATATATTGAAGGTATAAATAAAAATAAATAAATGAGTAAAACTAGATTATTCAATTAGAGAGAAATTGGTGAGATTAGTCGATTAGTTTTAATATATTTTTATTTTAAATATTTTATTATTTATTATATAAATTTTTGAAAATTTAAAAAAATATCATTAGTGGCATGATACAATTTTATATTATTATGCAATCAAAAATTAATATCAATTTAAAAATATTGAGATAATAGTAAATAAAATTTGAATTAAAAGACTAACTTGATAATAATTTTTTTTAAATACCAAAATAAAAAATATTATTCAAGTATTAAATGTATATTTAAATTAAATTAAAAAAGTTAACAATTATTGTAATTACTTTCTATAATAATAAAGAATAATTATAAGACGATATTTATTTAAAAAATTTAATCATTAATAATGTATGTACGTCTAATAAATGTAACTATTCAAGCTTAAATTTTTCGGAAAGAACAAATTTTTATTCTTATAATTTAAATTACTCGATATTATTAAATTTACGGTATCGGTTTTGCCCCAACAACAAGTTGTTAAATTATTCATCTAAAAAGCAGCCCAAACCGGGTTCGTTATTCCTCGGGCTGAGGTTCGAAGAAAGTGATGAGCTTTCGGCCGTTGTAATAATCGTTAACCCATTACCGAGCATAACTACTATTTTAGCGGTTATAATTTCTGACCCGAGAGGCCCATTTTTCTCCTTTTCTTCTTCTTCTTATTTGTTATTTCCAATTGCGGAGATGAGCTTCGGCGCAGGCGAATCAAATCAAATAAACAGTAAAAGATCTTGCTCATCTTCAACAATTGCAGCGTATACAGGATACGCATTCTGGTAAAGTTTTCTTTTTCAAAATCAAATGCTACTAATCTTAATTGCATTTGTTAATGCGAAATTCATGAACATTTTTTGGATTTTGTTTGTTTAAAGTAATTCAAGCTTTGTTTTCAGATCTAGTCTTTTAGATATTGCATTTCAATTCATTGTCGAATTAGGATGTGCCGGTGCTTAAATTTATATATATAAAGAGAACAGTTTCATTTTGGATTTGAAATTTGGGTTTCCCAAAGCAATGCAGAAGTAGCGATTCATCAAATTTATACATATAAAGAAAACAATTTCATATTGAATTTGAATTTGAAATTGAAATTGAAATTTTGGTTTCCCAAAACAGCAATGCAAAAGTTGCGGTTCATCAAATTTATATATATGAAGAAAACAATTGCATTTTAGAACAGTAATATTCGGTAGTAGGTCTTTTTTATTTTTAATTTGGACTGAAATTTATTAAGCATCAATAGTAGTTGCCAATGATAACTGCTAAAAAATGCGTTATTTTGATGGTTCCATCCTTCGCTGGAAATTTGTTGGAGAGGATTTCAAACTTCTTTGATTCCATTGAATTTTTTGCTTCCTAAATCAAAATGACAATGTTGTGAGAAGGAAGAATATTTTTTTGGTTTCAGTAAATGAAATGCATGCTTTTTTCTTAGTTTAGTTTTGGATTGATTGCTTGAATCGGTATTGCAACTCATTGATGACTAGATTTGCGATTTTTACTTGGTTTTAGAGTTCTGTCCTTTGTCCAGATTGCAGGTGTAACTTTGATTGCATTTGAGTAGTAGAATGGACTCAGAATCTGCTGATATCTCATCTCAACCTCAAACTAAAGCTTCTGATGTTGAAACCTCTGCGGTAGACGACACTGAAGTTAAACGGCCAGCTAATATTAATGATATGAAAAGTCATTCAATGGGCAACAATGTGGAACCTCCTGTCAAAGTTTATGATATTGAACTTCCAAAGGCTGGTGTTAATGTCATTACCATTTTAAGCTCTTTTTTGGGTCTGACTTACCATATAAGCTCCTTTGTCGTTTTGTTAACAATCTTAATTAAAAGAGATGCTCTCAAGAAATAGGACCCTTGTAATCCTCAGTATCTCTTTTCTCCTTCTCTTTTGAAACGAAGGATATGGCTTCCCCCCTGTTGTTTTTGGCTACCTTTTTGTTGCTTCTCTCCATGGTTCACCCAAAGGTATTTTTCAGTCTTTATTTCGTTTTCTTAATCTGGGTCCGATTTTTGTTTTTCTTTTTAGTTTTGTTTGGAGTATATATGTCTGTAGGTTTGATACTGTTTTGATTTTGATAACTAGTAACAATATCTAGAACCCATGTTCTGCCAGATCGAGTTTCAATAGTGGTGAAAAGACTATTTTTTTTCTTAGTTCACCTTGTCTTTGATGCAAAGAAATAAACTAGTTAAATATAAAATGAACAGAAACCAGTTTTCTCATTGAGAGACTTCAGTGGAGTTTATTTGACTGCTGGTAGATTTGCATTATACGTGTGGCTGCCATCATTGGTTTGCTAGATAAACCATTGGTTTGATTGTTATAGTTCATCCTTGAAGGTTTGCAATTTGACCTTAGTTGATGCTGTATTATTGGCAGGTGACTGCTGTGGAACAACTTTCAGTAGTCAAGCTTAACTCTCGGATCATTCAGGTATTTTCTCAGGTTGATGCCTTTAGAGAAAAAAAGGGAGTTTCAATTGTTAAATAGATAGCCATTGATTGTTTACTCTCACCATGATCATGTAGGATTCAATCGTAAAACAAGTCAATGAAAACCCCAAGGCTGGATGGGAAGCTACCCTGAATCTGAGATTTTCTAATTACACTGTAATTCAGCAACTTTGGGCCTCATCACTGATCTTTGTCGTTTATGTTGTTATTTCTCTATTCTTACTAGTCCAAATTTTTTGTTTTGATGCATAGGTTGGTGAGTTTAAGCACCTTCTTGGAGTCAAATCAACACCTAAGAAAGAACTTCTGGGCATTCCTGTGGTAACTCATGACAAATCTTTGAATTTACCAACTGCTTTCGATGCTAGAGCAGCTTGGCCACAATGTAGCACAATTGGAAGAATTCTCGGTGATTTATGTGCTGATTTATAGAAATTTTGTGACTTATTTTAACAAATTGGACTGATGATTTTCTTCTTTATGTGTTGAACCATTTCTTGGATCTATTTCTATATTAAAGATCAGGTAACTACATTTTCATTTCCCTCAATTTTAATATCTTGTTCTTTTATAATTAAATTCTTAGTATGTATAGCTGTGCTTATGCTTTAGGGTCACTGTGGTTCTTGCTGGGCTTTTGGTGCTGTTGAAGCTCTATCTGATCGATTCTGTATCCGTTTAGGCTTGGTAAATGAAACACATTTTTTCTTTCTCCTTAAAAAAGAAAGAAAAAGAGATAGCATTTACAGTTTATGGATATTAAAATTTTCTTGCAAAATCTTTCATTACAGAACGTTTCTCTGTCTGTTAATGATCTACTTGCATGCTGTGGCTCTGAATGTGGAGATGGTTGTGGTGGAGGGTATCCGTTCTATGCATGGGAATACTTGGTCGGCAGTGGTGTTGTCACTGAAGAGGTATTCATTTTTGCAAGCATAATCTTCCTTGAGAAAGTATGTTACTTGGACTTGTTTGTGAGTGGTGGACATAGGTTTAAGTTTGCAATGTTTTGGGGGGTCATATCCTCATGTTCATGTCCGGTTATCCGGATATGGAAGGACAAAACTGTTAGTCACAGGTATTTCAATAAAAAAATATAACCGGAGTAAACATGAAATGATAAGATTGTTTCATTAAAAACCCGGTGATTTCTCCGTATTAGAGGACATCTAGCATGATTTAGTGCTAAAATTATAGCTTAATTTATTTGCCCTTTAATCTTATATTCTCCATCTTGCAGTGTGATCCATACTTTGATGACATTGGTTGCTCTCACCCTGGTTGCCCTGTATACTCGACTCCCAGTTGTGTGAAAAATTGTGTTAATGGAAGCCTTCTCTGGAATAAATCGAAACACTACAGTGTCAATGCATATAGGGTCGAGTCAAATCCAGCTGATATCATGGCAGAGGTTTATAAGAACGGACCAGTTCAGGTCTCCTTCACTGTTTATGAGGTAAAGAAAGAACTCAATGCTTTTCTTGTTGAGTTTCCTGTTGCTCTTGGTGAGCAATTCCAAAGTGGTTTGGTTGGCGTGAATTCCATGTGTGTCGGACAAGAACATTTCAAAAAAATGAAGTACAAAAACATGGTTTTATATTCTAAGCTTCTTCGTGCTTTTTACAGGATTTTGCTCACTACAAGTCCGGAGTTTACAAACATGTGACAGGCAGTTTTTTGGGAGGCCATGCAGTTAAGCTGATTGGATGGGGAACTTCAGATGATGGAGAAGATTATTGGGTATGTTTGACCTTTTATTTTCAGCCAAATATTTCGGAAATCATATACTTGATTGAATATCTTGATATTTCATCTTTTCATCCATTGCAGCTTCTTGCAAACCAATGGAATAGAGGTTGGGGTGATGTATGTTTTCCATCAAACTTTTTCTCCATACATATTTAAAACCCGTCTTTACGATGCTCAAATGCTGACTATCATGTTACTCGGAACAGGATGGTTACTTCAAGATCATAAGGGGCGTAGATGAGTGCGGTATCGAATCCGATGGCATAGCCGGTTTGCCATCCGCCAAAAATCTTCACGACGTTGCAGATCCGGGGATTGTCGAAGACGCTGAAGTTCATATAGATTAAGCCCGTCTGATATCATAATTTAATGACAACACCACCATCGTAATAATTATCATTATCAATTAAAATAATTATTTTTCAATATTTATCCACCTAAATTCGTAACCTATTGATTCGATAAATCAGCTTAATCAAAAATTTAAAATAAGTAAATATATGAATTTTGTGAAAACCATTCTTCAGAAGTACCATTGAAAACTAAATTTAATGTGAACAAAATGCCCTGCTTGATTGATATTATCATCTGTAAAATGCATTAAAATTTATGAAGGTATTGGCAGTAAGGAATGTTGCACTTGATCCAATCCGAGTTGACTCATTTTAAAATAATTAGACTAAATATGATTATAGAAGTATAATGGGAAAGAATTTTGTTGTTATTATAATTGTATAATTGGACTAAACAATCTTATTAAATATACATACAACTATTTATCGTTGGTTTTAATGTACAATTTGATATTTAAATTTATTTTTGTCTAATTAAATATTTAGATTTAATTTTAAAGATCATTTTTAACTTATAATATTTTTTGTCTAATTAAATATCTTAGCTTGATTTTTTTATTCATATTAATATCTGATTTTTTTGACAAAATTAATATTTGAATTTAACTTCATGGTTTAAATCGGTCTAAACAAATCATTTATCATGTGGACTAGATTGAACCAATAAATTAAATTCAAGTATTGAACTGAATCAGAAAATATTATATACCAAATTAAATCATAAATAAATTTAAATATCTAATGAAAAAAAATCAAATTCATAATGCTAAACTACATATTTAATCATTTATTTAATTATTCATCTAAAATATATTGTGGTAACAAAATTCATTGGTAAATTTTTAAATAAAATATTAAGTTTTAAGTTTTTTTAGTCAATCCAAGTGCCTACGTTACAAACATTGTCATTTTAGGTTAGAGATGAGCATGAGTCAGGTTGGGTCGGATTTTTGGTCAACCCAACATGAAAAATATACACCCAAACTTGACCTGGCCCGAAATAATTTATTCAAAAATTGTTTTTATTCAATAACAATAGGGATTTAATTGAAAAAAAATAATATATAGAGGGACATTATTATAATTATCCCTAAATATAAAGGTAAATTTGTATGTTTTTTTCTTGGGTCAGGGTTTTTCACTCTAAACTTGAACTTGAATTTTTAAAAAAAAAATCTAACCCGATCGAGTCAGGTCTAGTCGAAACCCATCAGATTCGAGTCCTATGCCCATCCCTACTTTAGGTGCATGATTCGTAATAGACATTAAATTTCACTGTTAAGTGACACGTGTCATATTCAAGTAATTTTGAATTTTTTTTAAATATCTTAAAATTATTTTTTTAAAATCCAAAATTTTTGAAAATTTTTATAAAAAAACTTAAAAACTCTAAATTTAATCCTCATACCTAAGTCGGTCTTTACCATCATCGTTGTCGTCGACTGAACCTACCCTCGATCGCACTTTCATCCAATGAACAGTCACCAATGAACCGCAATCACGATTTAAATCTTACGAATGGAATGAAAAAATTACGACATTTACGCGACTCCATGAGACCCGTCGGCACGAGCAATGGCGAAAACGATGTCGATCGAAAAGGGAGGCGGCGACATCGATCGTGACTTGCAAAGTAGAAACTAGGGTTAGGGATTTTAGATTAATTTTAGAGATTTTTATGTATTTAGAGTTTTTGTAATTTTATAAAAATAAGATTTCTAAAATATAATAATAATTTTAAGGTTTCTTTAAAAAAAATTAAAATTATATAAAAATGACACGTGTCACTTAACTAATTTTTTAATAATTATTACGGTCGAGAGCAAAAAAATTAGACACCATTTAAAAAAATGAGTTTAGACAATTCTATATTAATCCTTGGTATTATTTTCAACCGGCTACATTAGTTTCGACGCAAGCAAATTAAATCAAATCGAACAAACAGTTGAAGATTTTGTTCATCTTCAACAATTGCAACGCGTATTCCAAGGATCCAAATTCTGGTAAAGTTTTCTTTTTCAAAATCGAAATGCCGCTAATCTTAATTGCATTTGTTAATGCGAAATTCATGAACATTTCTTTGATTTTGTTTATTTAAAGTTATTCAAGCTTTGTTTCCAGATCTAATATTTTACAAATTGCACATTGTCGAGTTAGGATGTTCTGGTGCTTAGTTTTATACATATAAAGAAAACAATTTGATTTGAATTTGAAATATTTCAAGAGCAATGCAAAAGTAGCGATTCAACAAATTTATACATATAACGAAAACAATTGCATTTTGGAACAGTTTACCTTTAAAGTAGTTGTCAATTATAACTGTTCCAATATACGGTATTTTGATGGTTTCATTGCTCGAAATTGTTTCAGAGGATTTCAAACTTCTTTGGCTCCATTAAATTTTGCTTCTGAAAGCAAATTGTCTATTAGGATAAAAAAATGTAAGACAATGTTTTGAGTGTGAAGAATATGCTTTGTTCAGTAAGCAAAACACATGTTTTTGCTTGGTTTAGTTTTTCGTTGATTCCTTCAATCGGCATTGCAACTCATTGATGATTTTATAATGAGTTTTTTACTCATAGTTTTAGAGTTATGTCCTTTGTTCAGATTACCGGTGTAACTTTGATTGCATTTGAGTAGTAGAATGGACTCCGAATCTACTGATTCCTCCTCTCAGCCTCAAACTAAAGCTTCTGGTGTTGAAACCTCTGCTGAAGATGACACTGATGTTAAACGGCCAGATGATACTAATGATATGAAAAGTCATTCAATGGCCAACAATGTGGAACCTCCTGTCAAAGCTTATGATATTGAACCTCCAAAGGCTGGTGACAATGCATCTACTGTTTCTGTGAAAACCATTTCCTCACCAGACCCCACAACATTTGATTTACCCTCCACTGGCATATCTTCTTGGACAAGACATTTTAAATTATCACAGCCTATAGCACCGCCTCAGGCATCTCAAGCTGAAAATGCAGGGACCTCAGCTTTTGCACGACTCACCAGTGGCCTTGGATTGCGGTTGCAATCGATGACTCTACCACCGGATAATCGTGCAGAACCAACCTCTACAGGAACGCAAGCTGTTCTTGAATCATTTAAAAAGGGTATAGTTGACTCATCTTTGAATGCAGTGAAGGCTGTGCAGGTCAAAACACGCCATATGGTTTCCCAAAACAAAAGAAGATACCAGGTATCCTAACTGTGTTGTTAATGGTACATTTCAATCAAAATGTCTGACATCAATCACTGGTATCTTGGTTTTAGATATTAATATGAAATGATTGTTTTATCTAACTATGATCAGAAATTCCTTATCGTTTAGATGTATGTATCTAATATGACACCAGATTATAATGAATTATGTGATGAAAAGATTTTTAATGCATGCTCTACAGGAGGGAGAGTTTGATTTGGATATGACTTATATCACTGAGAATATAATTGCTATGGGGTTTCCTGCTGGTGATCTAAGCTCGGGGCTTCTTGGATTCTTTGAGGTAGAAAAGGTTTATGTGGTTTGCACTTGAAATTTAGTGTGCAAGTTCAATTGTTGGTTTTATGGACTTCATATTTGATGCAGGGATTTTACCGAAATAAAATGGAGGAAGTGATCAAGTTTTTTGAAACTCATCACAAGGTAGGATGTTGCATGCATAACAATGGACTCTTTTATCTGTTTATTGGATAGATCTTGAACTAGGGGGAGATCAGAGGTGCTCCCTCAATTAAATAAGAAAATATTTTGAAGTGGAATTTTTAGAGTCTTAATAATGAATCTGCAAATTGTAAAATCTTGCCTAAACAACAATGCAAAAAAAGAAAAAAAAAGAGTAGGGGTTCAACATCAACTAATAATATGGGTGACTAGATGAGAAAAGGGGATACAATTTGAGATGCATATCATTGCAGTAAAAACAATATGGAACTATTTGGAAATATTTTCTATGTTTCAAGGAACATCATGATATAGTTAAACATTTACAGAATTCACATGGATACGAAGGAGATTTATAGTTGTTCAAGTTTTGTTTATAATATGGTGGAAGAATGTGCTGCTGTGTCATTAGTCATATAGTATTTCTTCCATTGTTCTTAACTGTGAAAGGTCAACGTTTATCTCATTAAATCATAATTGAAGAGTAAGTATAGTTGAGGCACAGTTGCAAGACTAAGTACATTAGCTACAAAATTTTAGGGTTAGTTAAAAGCAATTCAATAGTAATATCATTCTCTTTCCTTTCTTTATATTTCTTTTTCTGCATATTAAAAAGTTCGAAGTTTAGTTTTGCAACTTTTGTTACTAGTTGGTAATATCACATTCTAGACTTTTAGCTGCTCTATGTTTTTGGATTAATTATGCATGTATGATGTCTGTGAGTAGGTAAGCCTGCCTTAGATTTCTGAGGCTTTTCTGACGTACTCGTTTAGTCATTAATCTTATGTCAACAATTTCTTTATACAGGGGAGATACAAAGTGTACAATCTTTGTTCTGAGAGGTTGTACGATGCATCACTATTCCGGGGGAAGGTTTATTCTCATCTCTATTTGCCCGCTAAATCCGTATTGCATTATAGTGGTTTGTGCTTTGACTTGTGGGATATCAACTTTAGATATAAGTATATGCATCTTTTTAATGCTGTTTGGTTCTTTATATATGCCGCATGGTATATCATGTGCAATTTTGGGAACTACATGTATTGTTTGTTATTACCTAATGATGGAGCTTCTTGCGTGTACCTTCTACTACATTGGGATTTTTATAATGCTATTTTTTCCTGCTGCCCTTAGATCTAACATCAAACGTATTTACAGGTTGCAAGTTTCCCATTTAACGACCACAATTGCCCCCCACTTCATCTCATCAAATCCTTTTGTCAAAGTGCTTACTCATGGTTGAAAGAGGACATCGAAAATGTAGTGGCTGTTCATTGTAAAGCTGGTATGGGAAGGACAGGATTAATGATTTGCAGTCTTCTTTTATTCCTTA